TGTCCACCTCAAAAACAAACCTCACGGCTCACCGGCTTCTTTCCGTACTAAGCTAAGCCACGTTATCTGCTTCTCAAGTTGCTGGCTTTCCTCTCCTTACTCTCCCCTTTTCTTCATGCTGAGCTTTAGAGTCATGATCGGCACATTATACCCTGAATATAAGAATGAGAGCCACTTTTCCACTCCTCGCAGGTGAGTGGGGATTAAGGAAAGGTAGACAGGACGATGCATTGGTAATTGTTAAGATCTACTTTGAGACGTCACAGTGACCTCGTTGTGTGCTGATCCCTGATACCGGACTGTGGATTCTTTCCTGGCATGATGCCTGACACCCTTCTGTTTGTCCAGTGAATATGGGTTGGTGTTTTTAGCAGTTGGGGAAACAAGTGTTAAAATGGAGTAACAGTGTGTGTTCCTGGTTTTTTTCAGGGTGCCTAGTGAGGGAGAGGCCAGTGCCAGGACAGAAACACCAAGGTGAGAATTTGCTTGAGATGTAGATTTCTGGAAACCTTTCACTCACCTCTACATCTTCATCGTCTCTGTTTTTTTTTCTCTCTGTCTCTGTCTTTATCTATTGTTGTAGAAGTGCTTCAGGTGAAACTAAGGAGGACAACGGTCGTGATCCAAGCCCCGCTCGCTGCGTTTCACCTGGAGCATGAAGACCACTTCCCCATGGAGCCGCCGAGATGATGAGGGAGATCCGAAAGGTCCTGGACGCAACAGCTGCGATTACGAGCAGCGCGAGCGCTTCCTGCTTTTCTGCGTCCATGGCGACGCTCGCCAGACAACCTGGTCCAGTGGGAGATGGAGGTGTGCAAGCTGCCCCGCCTCTCACTCAACGGCGTGCGCTTTAAGAGGATATCAGGCACGTCCATCGCCTTTAAGAATATCGCCTGCAAAAATTGCCAACGAGCTCAAACTGTGACGAGCAGATGGATCCCAGTCAGTCTTTGTTGAGCTCTGGTTACAGTCTCATCTCATCACTGGATTAGTGTTGACTTACAGGACAAAAATTCAGCACTGAAGGTCCTCACCGCGCAGAATCAGGGTGGACTCGGTGGTAACGTGCAATACTGGCCATGAATGTACTGTACAGGGTAGTGGATCAGATAGATATCGCGAGGTTTGACCTCGTGGGAGAGACAGCAAAATCAGCAAACCCGCCCTTTTTTTTCTCTTCCGTCCGGCCCTCTGTCTCTGTCATCGGCCCGCTGCTCCTGTCAAAGGACACATTCATGTAACACATGCAGTATGCAACTGAAAATGACCATTCTGCAATAATGTTTCCAATCTCTTTTTCTAAATGCCTACTACTACAAGATCTACTCTCCTCGCTGAATAACCATTAAAATAACTGAAAGCTAAAAAATAGCGCTTTTCCACCTATGTTAACTCAGTATATAGATCAGGCTGGAGCTCATACTAAAACAATGTAAAAAGAGAATTGTACTGTATGCATAACATCTGCAGGTACTGTTTGTATATTGATTTTCGTTCTGTACAGAATTTAATTGTCAATACTGTCTTTTTTCATGGGATTTGAGTTCTTTCCTAATATAATTGATGTCTCTAACCATTATCCTTTCAGTCTGTGAGTTTTTTTTTTTTTTTTTAAGATCCACCATATGAAAGTGTTTTTAATTTTATTTAAAGAGCACTAAATTATTTTGTTGAATATTAAGGGATGTGCTCCCTTGCCTTTTATGTTATATTTTATTTGCCTACGGAAAAAAACATTAAGTTGCACCACATAGACTTGAGTAGTACGTTCAGTTTCAAACTGAAAATGTGTTCACTTTATTTTCTCTCAGCAGTAGTCGGTGATTTTGGAGATCCTGCTGCAGTTGCACAAGTTTTCCAGGGTGATGTGTATGAACATGAGAGTATGCACCTGTATTTCTTTCGTGTTAGTTTGGTAGTCCTCAATTTACGAAAAAGGCAGGGTTCAAATTGGGTTCCTTTCGAAAGAGGAGGGGAGACAGGACGTCTTTATCCAAAGTACTGAGAAAGCATGAAAGTAAAATGATCAACTTGAAAAAAAAAAAAAAAGCAGTGTTTGTGGAGTCTTTCTGAAGAGCCTGATTAATCCTGCCACCAGTGTGATTATGCAGGTACTGTGTATCTCCTTGCTTGTTTTTCATTTTAAACTCCGCAGATTTTGTTGTATTATTTCATTACATTGTAATGTTGCTGCTTGTAGATTTGAGGCGTGCACTTTGTTGGAGAAAATAAAAAGGATTTTATTTGTTTGTATATATTTTCATTTAATTTCTTGTTATCAAATTATACAGGTAGGGTTAATCAACAATTCCTTAAAGGTCCTCACAGGTTTAAAGAACACCTGTGAGGACCTTTAGGGAATTGTTGATTTTGGCGCCCCCCTTGAACCAAGCAAGAAAAATTTGATCTCTTTAGGTAGTGTTTTCTGACAAAGATCTCATCCTTCTTATTCCAAGTGTTTTATCTGTAACTCACAATGAATCTCTGGCTTGGACAAACATACAAAATGCAGTTTGACAGTGTGCTGATAATTCTCTCATCTGACACCTACCCCACGGCAAAGGTGACACTGGCCTCTAAAATACTTCTATAGAAATAATCTTCATGATGATGGTCTTTGTTGGTAATACAGATACATCAGTATTCATTTCAGTCTGCTTCATAACCGTTTAAAATCTCCTCAAGAGTTTCAAGCTATGAAACAGTCGTGACAATGTGTTTTGCCTTGAGGACCCGGTGTCTGCATTTCACACTGAACTAGCAGGAAGCTCAGACGAGATGTTAACATTTCAATGTAAACCTTTATTGGTTGTAAACAGCATGATATTAGTCAATAACTTAATCCTAATCATGACAAAATGTTTGTAATCAGCACACATGTTAGTCAAAGGTCAAACATTATGAACAATATCCTCTATTTTGTTTTCATTTCAGGTCCATTAAGTGTGTGAAAATAGTTCTAAATGTCCCCAAAAACCTCCCCAATAATTCTTATGAAAAACTGTATTTTCAATACTTTAAACATTAAAAATCATTGACAGTAAAAATGTAACTTTTCAGGAAGATTCTCTCACAACATATCTGTTGATATTTTCAAAATAATAAACTTAAATGTAAATCATTCTTCCTAACAAATAAGTATTTAATTGGACTGGTCCCTCGTACACTTACAAAAGTATCACTCAAATACAAATCTTTTTAGCTTACAAGTGGATAGAAAGAAAAAAAATTGTAAACATTTTTGTTTTGGCAGATTTGTTCATTCAAACATGTTAATAGGTTAAAAGGTACCATTTCATTATTACATTTTGTAGATAAATATATGAGATTACAAATGTATAAACATTGCTGAGTCACATGAAAAGCTGAAACACACAGAAAAATAACCTACCGGCCGATGCAAGATTGAATGGATCTATGAGCGTGGATGCTGCATTCATCAGAATGGGACGGCCTGTGTGAGGCCCTGGTCATGCATTAATGTCTTGGCAACATACAGGGTCTAATCCTAACTTGAGAGGCATTGAACTCCACATGTATCTCAGCCAAAGGGGTTTGGCTGAGATACATGCAGTTGCCTTTACATGCACTTGTTTCATTGGAAGATTTAAGAAAGGAAAAAGATAAATTTTTGCCTCGCTCAAGTTAGAATGAAAGAATCCCTTTCCGTTTTGTTCAGCAATCTCAGAAAACAGTCAAATAACCTATCTAAAAAAATGGCTCAATTGCTCAGGTCAATGACCAGATGCTCATAAATCTGAGTTTTCCCTTTGAAGCTCGACGCCAGTAGGAACTGCCGGTTGTCAATGGAGATTGGCGAGAAGGCCCTTGGCGCCTGGATGTTCACCTCTTGGAAGTGGACGAACTCACCCTTCTTTGCATCCCAGCGGTACACCTGTGTGAAAGAGTAATCGCTGCCTAGGATGGCATACTGCCAGCTGCCGACTGAGAAGGGCTGGAACACCATGGATCCTCGAGAGGGCATCGTCTGCAGCTCCCTGAAGAGCGCCCCGTCCCAGCGCATCACTTTGGAGTCGCCAATAAAGCGCGTGAGACAGATGTAAAGGTCAGATTTGACCTGGAAGTGCTTCACGGCATAGACGTCCTCCATCTCTGGGATGTCAGTGCGTCGATCGAACAACTTGCTGCTTTTGTTCCACTGGTAGATGACCGGCCTCTGGGAGCTGCTGGACAGGATCAGGTGAGGTTTGGAGGAGATCTCCATGTACTCCACATCAGTATCTCTGTACCACTGGTGGAGCGATTGATGAGAGTAGAAGCCATTGCCGTTCCACTTGTAGATGGTGGTGAAACCAGCCTTGGAGCTGTCGGCTATGACGAAGAAAGATTCCCCGTCTATACGGAAAGTCTCGACGTCATTTGGTTTGCGGATCTGGAGGATGTCGATGCCTTGGAGCTTGATAAATTTGTTGGCAGATGTGTCGCGCTTGTAAATGTGTGAACCCCCGAACAGCTGAGCCACGATGATAAAGAGCTGGTTGTCAATGACCAGAGGTTTGCAGATCACGGTGGACGTGCCTAGAAAAGAGAAGGAAAGGATTAAAGAAGATTTTTTTCTTCCACTTTTAAAGGCTTCTCCTCAAAATGTATACCCTCATTTTAAATACAGTAATACCGATCTGATACCATGATTCATTAGCCCCACCAAAACTTGACTGCTTCCTGGTAGATTATCCAGTGAAAACTACAAACAACAACAGTGCAGTAAAAAGGAAGTGAGCACTTGATGTGTACCAATACTTATGACCTGAAACCAATCACCATCAGCAGGGGAAAATGGTACTGAAACACCTTTACCTGTAAACTTCCTCACAAAACAGCCTATTTTCAACTTGTAGCCCACTTACTGTCAATGTCATCATAGTTTCTAAAGACCATCTCCACGTGATCCCACTCCAGAAAGCTGCATTTCCCAATGAAGGGCTGAGCAAACACCACATACTGGTCACTCTCAAAGGAAAAGGCCTCCACAGATATGGATTCAAACTTAAGGGACTGGTAGGAAGCAAACTCTGTAAGACAAAAAGGTCAAGAGATTGGATTATGATTTTGTTCAGGCAATGCATAGCACACCTTACTGGACATTCATGGTAAGGCATAATTATGGGCACCTAAGCAGGACCCCACTTTTCAACTGGGACTTTCATGCTGTGTGCCATGTGCTACTACATGCTCATATGGTTAATTCTTGACAATTAACCTCCAGTGTTGTCTTTGTGTGCAGCTACTGTAAGCGTAAGTTCCCTTTCATTGATATTTGAGAGTGTTTTACTTGATTCCATTAACCACAATTGTAATGTTTCCTCTGCTAGCATAGAATTACCTTAAAATTCAAGATAATTAGCTCTGCTAGGGCGGCTTCATTATTGCAATACATGTGGTTACATTTTTTTCGGAGCTTTAGTCATGACCCAAGTCCTTCTTTTTAAAGAATATACTTTCTTTAAGTTTATTTGATGTATTTATATAATTTTCTCAAGGTTAAACAAGGTCGTCTGTAGTGGCTGTAGCAGTTAATTGTAGTTACATCCCCTCTATAGAAGCAACACTCAACCCATGTAATGAAAAGAGAAGAGTTCTGAAACTTCAATTTAGACTGTTTAACAGCTCTTAGTGAAGGAAAACATCTAATTTTCCATTTCATACTTCATTCCTGAACATGTCCAGACATCCTGAAATTGTCCAGAATTGCCTAACTCATGTCCAACTCTTAACAGCAGGAGATAATCGGTCTCTGACATCTGGCTCTTGCAACTTGAAATACTTAATTCAGTTCGGGTGTTATATATAACCTTACCCCCCCACCCTTCTCCCGGACCATGCCAGGATAAAGCAGGAGTGCAGTGCACACATCAAAGGGCTGCAATGATCTAACGGGACATGCTAAAGTAGTTGTCAGTCAGCATCTTGGACAAAATTTGCTCTAAAAAGTCACACTTTAAAACAATGGCAAAAGCAGTGGTGTTTGTACTGCACCTGTTGTGATGCAGTCGAAGGCTTGTGGCGCCAGGTCGTTGATTTTCTTGTCCAGCTGTGAGGCCGGGCCTTTGCAGTAAATCTGGTCCACTGTGGTGTTGGTGCTGTAAATCCACTCCACCAACCACTTCAGCTTACAGTCACAGGTAAACTGGTTCCCTCGAAGGTCTCTGAAAAAGAGAAATCCACCAAATTTACATCCACATTCCCCTCAAGATCTAACAGAAATGCTTTCAGCTCAATATATCGGCTTCATTTTCAAACAATACAGTCATGAAGGCTTTGCTATCCGGCCTTCAGCGCTTCAATCTGTGCTCTTATTAATATTGAGAGGGAGTATAAAATAGCGCTAACGATCTTCGGGTGTGATGGATTGCAAACCATCTTCTCCTCACTGCCGCATGTAATTTTAATGGTGTTAAAAGCACCTCCCACACATTTTTCAAGCCTCGGCTGCAGTGGAATAATGACAAAGTGTTCTATATATAGAAGAACTCATCTTCCACGATGGCATACATTACTCTGTAAGTTATGTAACACTGTGCAATTTTTTTTAAAGATAATACAGAAGAACTTAAACTCACACTTTCGTCAATGCCTCGAGACCCTTGAACAAATCTTTGGGCAGAGTCTCCAGATTGTTGTAGGCCAGACTCCTGAAAAAGAAGAAGAAATGACAGCTTCTCAAACACTTATTATTCTTGTTTTGTGTTAAATGCATAAATACAATGGATCTGCGTCCATTGTTACCTCTTTCTGCTGTTACATGCTAATGATACAGATGAGACTGTTTCTCTGTGCATCTGTACCAGAAACAGCTTAATCAAACTCTCCATGGGGCCTTTGTTTAGCAGTGTTTCCTGGCAATGGGTATCTGATAAAGAAATTCAGCACGTACTGTCACCTTGGAGACTGAGGGCATGGGAACATTGCTTATTGTGAGTTTGAGGAAACATTAAGCTATTTTTAGAGCTGCCTCCTCAGCCATTTTATGGCTTTCTGTGTCACAAAAGTGTGGAAAGAAGAATATTTTGCTGTTATAAAAGTTCTCTTTCATAGATAGATTGTGTTTTTAATCGTGCAGCTCTTTTTTAAATCAAGGTTTTTCACCTTTTTCATAGAAGTAAAATCATACAAACGTGGACGCCCTGTGCTGTCAGTGCTCATATTTTTGGTGCAGGTGATGGCAGGAAACATCATTGATGATTTCTCATATTAGTCTCGAATAATAAATGGAGGTAATTACATGGATGGACGGATGAATAATTTAGAGCTCCTGAGGTGTTTGTAGCTGGTTATGACACAGACTGTTGTTAATACTGATGACTATTTTATGAAATGAAAATGTATCAGCATAAAGATGAATTCATTTTTATGTCTGTCACCCATGCTGTGGGGGTAGGTGTCAGACGGAGGAGATTAACAGCACGCTGCAGAAACAGACGTTTTTATAATTAGGTTCATTTTGAGTTTCGTGTTAGACATAAAAAAAAACAGAAGGATTACGTTTCTTGTCTGAAAACACTAGTGTACACACACACACACACACACACACACACACACACACACACACACACACACACACACACACACACACACACACACACACACACACACACACACATTTACAGGACACAATCAGCACAGATAAATCGTCTCACTTTATCAAACTGTAGGTCTATACATACTTCATGCCTCATGTTGCTTCGTTTCATTTGGTCAGAAAGTGAAGGTGATTTTCTTCACAATCATGGTAGCAGCTGTGCAACATGTAGAGAAATGTCTGTGTTGCAACAAATGTTGTGTAATGAACGTTGTCAGCATTTTGCAGTGCAAAGAACAGAGCTTTCCTGCCCCAGCAGGCATACAACATGTTCCAGTGTTACAAATATCAGAAAGCTTCTTAACCGTTCATCTGTCACAGATCAAAAAGAATAAAAAACACAGATATACTTACAGATGCACCAAGGTTTTCAGTCCACTGAAAGCATTTGCTGAAATCGACGTGATGTGGTTGTTTTCGATGAACCTGGAAAAGGTGTTCAGTTAATAAATGCATAACAGATAATCTACCCTTCTAAAAAAAAAAAGCCCCAGGATAAATTTGTTATCCACTCACAGATACTCCAGATGGGGAAGACCAAGGAAAGCGTCCTCATTAATAGACTCCAGGTTGTTGGCAGTGAAGAGGCTGTGCGGAGAGACCCAAAACATTTCACTGTTCCTGCTAACAACAAGCCTTTGTCCCACTTAAACAGCTGTATAGACATGTGTTAGATTCACAAAAAAAACTCTCCCCTTTTTCCTAAATAGAATCTGCATCAAAGAGGATCTAGGTTGTTTTTTTTTCTGCTTATTTGTTTTGAAGGCCATGGTGACACAGTCAATACTCCACCCCATGAGACAGATTAGAGGGGATTCCCTCTTCGAAAGGAGGGATTCCCCATGCACAAAGCTCATTCTTAAACCAGGGTCTGATTCACAACATGCACAGATACAACTTAAGGCAAGACTTGGATGGATGCCCAGCAGAGGAAACGCTCTACAATGCTATGAAAATTCATAAGAGGGAAAAAAAATCGATAAGAAGCCCACATTTTTGGTTTAATCTCCCTATTCTCGTTTTAGCCACTCTGTAATTATGTGCAGCAGCAGAGAAGGTGGACTGTCTTCAACATTAAACATGGCGTTGATCAATGACAGCATGTAACAAAGACTGAGGAACAAAAAAAAAAAGCCTCCAGAGAGATTTCTCACAGGAGATGCAGTGCAGGCGTGTGGATGAAGCTCTCTTTCGGGATTTCAGTGAATTCCGACTTGACGAAGGATCTGCAGGAGACACACAGAAACACTGGTTTAATAGACTACAGGCAAGACTGTCTCACTCAGTTACTCCAGTCTGTTCCATAACTGTGCACAAGAAATCCACATCTTAATCAGTCGAGTATGTTGCGTAAAATATCTGCCACGAAAAGCACAGCTACGGATTTAGTTATAAAATAATGAAAACATGACTTACAGCGATATGACATCGGTGGGGAAACTGCGAGGGATCATCCCCGCGCTTTCACACAACGCGTTATCTTTGGTACATGTACATGAGGAGGGACAGCGGGGCTGCCGGGCTCTCTTGCTGTCCACTACAAGTAAAACAGACGCCACTACAAATGCGCAGAGCCAATGTGATCTTTTGGGCATCTTGCGTATAATTCCCATCTTTGCGAACCGCTGCGGGCGCGACCTGTGCGTCGAACAGCCCTGCACATGAACCAGGGTCCCCTCTCTGGATCCTTTTCCTCTAAAGCTCCTTCTTCTGCTGCTGCCTGGAGGCCAAGCGACGCGCTGTCCGCTCTTTCTTGTTTATCTCCAGTGAGTGCCGTGTGCGCCACCGCCGCCGTTCTGGAGGTGATTAACCGGGCGCCCGGCACGTCCACAGCGCTCAAATCCCACTGCACCCCCGGACGAAAATCAATATCCCCTGTGACAAAACCCCAACAGTAGAATCTAATCAAATTCTCGCACTAGTGGCTCAGGAAAATACCAGCTGGTGATAAACGCGGGTGTGAAGGCAGGTGGGGATCCCAGCGGGAGCAGACGGAGCATCTTCATCCAAAACCACGCCTATGATTTCTGCAAACACCACACTCGCCGTGTCAGGCAAGGTACCCGAAGAAGGAATCCACCCAATCGGACGAGGAGTGGTGTAGGCTATGTTTTTTGTTTTTTTTTACCCGTGAATCAGCTGGAGAAAAATGAAGCCCTGACATGAGCCAGCGGATTGCTGCGTGTGGCGCAGACGCACACGGGATGCCTATGCGGGGAAGCGGTTGGGAAACCTGCAGAAATTAATTTTCGCCGTTAAAATGTAGCTGTAGTGTTGCCTCGACAGCCATACATTAGATTTTTGCTATTATATGCCTAGACGTTGTCACATTTTCTGAAGTAGGAAGATTTATTTCCTGCTTTGCTTTTTGGTTTCCATGGCGACTGGTGGATGCAAAATGTGGTGGCGTTGTGATGGAGGGGTGTGGGGAAGCCCTCCTATCATCCTGACATCTGCTCTCCCTCAGTCAAATCACCCCCCTCCCCCATCATATAGCCTACCCCCTCACAAACAAAGGACAGGTCTCCCTTTGCTCCCATGCTGCTTTTCTGCATGACATCAGCTTTATTTCTCAAAAAAAAAAACACATAAAAAAAATCACAATCCTTTCATATTTTTTTTTTCAACTTTATTGCCGTGAAATTAAAGCCAAAACAGGTTTATAGCCATCCTTTCTTCTGCTGTGCCAGACATGACATAGACGCCTTGTTAGGAATTCTTCCTCATCATCTAATTTCTCTGATCCTTCCAGAGTCACAAGATTTATATGTTTACTCACTGCGTCTGGCAGGCCTTCATGCGTCAGACACTTCTGGGAAGTAACACGTGCAGCTGGTTTTAAAACGTCTCTGAATAGAAAATGCTGCTCAGGACGTCCAGCCTCTGTATGTCAATAATGTGATTACACTATTTGCTATCTGTTTACCTCGATAATACAATTTGCCTGTAAAAAAACAACAACATGTAGTTTATAGTAACAGGGTCATGCTCTGGAAGATGCCTCCTGGTATCCTGATATACTGTGATAAGGGGAAAGGATGAAGATTAAAGCCATTACCAGTGATGGGGACACTCTATAGGAGACTTATGAGAGGAAACACACAGAGGAGAATTGTGGATTATGAAGAAGCTGGAATGGACAGAGAGCAACAAATGTCTTATTTTACGAGCAGCTTTTGTACTAAACAGAGAACACTGGATATTATTGTTGTGCTGCAAGATGATGGATAGTTCTTGTGCCTCATAAATGCCATCATTCATCCCCAGAATAGAACACACACTGTCCTGCAAGTATTTGACCACAGGGATGTCCACTGCTATTGATACATCAAAGTCTGCTGTTTCTGAACACAGTTAATGGACTTTCTGGATGTATATTAATCTGATTTCATACTTATAGTCCATATTTGATTTAATTATATGCATACCTCTATTATCAGTACCGTGTCTGTAGCTTCAAATGGGACGTTTTCAAACCAAACTTTCCCTTTCTGACATGTTGTAGGTGCACAAACTGATAGCCAGACCTATCCCACTAGAGCAGGGATGGGCAACTTTGGTCACAGCAAGGGCCACATTCATTTAATTGTCACTGCCAGGGGGCCAAATTGTAGGATAAAAAAACAATTACAGTCAATAATGTCTCAAATTTAACTCAACATATACCAGTGATCAAATATTATTATGGACATAGTTCTGGTTTTCATGATTTCATGGCAGATTTTGTCATGTTTTTCGTCATGTTTCCAATTAGTTGATATGTCAAAATTGACCCGAGGGCCACGTTGAGGGTTAACGGGGGCCGCATGTGGACCCCCAAGCCGCCAGTTGCCCACCCCTGCACTAGAGGGAAATGAAGGGCCGAGGTTAGAGTCCTGTCAGAGGAGGATTGATTTATGAGCAATCAGCTGATTAAAATGATTCTACTTGGATTTCAGCCACAAGAGAGATTTTTTTCCTGACAGATTTGTAAGTCAAATAAACTATTCTTTTGTTTTACTAAGAGCATTTGTATCCTGCATTTAGCTGCATAATGGTATCTTAATGTGTCATTTTGCAACTTTTTTTGTTTTTCCACATGCTTTTGAACTTTGAATAGTTACTTTTCAAATTATTCTACCACTATTAATTACCTGTCTGTTTGAGTTTTACAAAATTCTAATTACAACTTTAATCATTACTGAACATCATTGTTATATTTTTTGTAATGTAAACTATAGCCTTCTCCCACGAGTGAAAGCAGCACGTTAGTGACCACACCAGTGTTGCTGTTTGACCTCTGCACCTAAATGCTGTCTTAAGGTGTGCGTCAGTCTACAAAGCTGGCTTACACCCTTTGACGTTACCGCCAGGATTCTGAAACCGATATTCTCTCTTGTTACTGTATGAACTCAGAGGGCTTTTCTCATATGATGCACCACAACATCTTCTAGCCGTTCCTATACTGAGGTCAAACTAACAGTCAAAGAAGGTCAAAGCACAGATTTGCATGCTTTAGAAAGAGAGCGAAGCAACAGAAAAAAACCTTTTTAGGTTTGAAAAGTGCAGCATAAAAGAAAGGTTTTAATGTTTTCTTGTTCATTTAGTCTTTGTCTTGTCACAATACCAGAGTTTTCAACTTCGATATACAACAGTATAAAAAATCAGACTATTTCGATATCTGTTGTTGATACCACAACAACAAACACAAAAGTCCTAGGCACTCAAAATCAGCTATTCAGGTTTCTAGTTACCAAAAATCTGCAGGCAAAATTCTGCACACTGTCTTGATTGCACAAATACATCTGCAACTTTGAACTGTTCCATTGGATTTGTGCAATTTAGACAGTGTTTCTTACCCCTCGGCTCCCTGTGTTTGTAAGAGACATAAACATAACTATTGTAGCTTTATGAGACACTGAAGGGACAGTTTTTGTCGACCTGGAAATTTGAATGGACCACAGATGCTCTCTCTGCATCTGTTTTGGATTCAAAATATGAGGATATTAAGTTTTTTTTTTTTTAAAAAGCTTCAGTACTTTTCCTTTTACTATCTGAAATAAAACACTTGACATTAAACTGTATACGAACATTTGACAACCTTAGATTAAAGTCTATTTGCGTCTCAAGAACAGGCAGCAGTTAGAATCCAGCTTCTTCGGCCTCCTGTAAGCTTGTTAGCAGTTAATTAGAAGGTGATCTGCTCTTTTAAGCCTTTTTAGCTGGCTATCAGTTGTTAACATGGTGCACACAGAGCCAGGTGAGTGAGTCTTTTTTGATTTGATGAAGCTGAGGTTCACCATCAGGAAAATCTTTTACTCCATAATTTATTTACTGAATTTCAGCCATGCTGCAAAATGACTTTTTTTCCCCTTTCTGTTGAGTTTGCATGATTGCAACTTTTGATTTGCTGAATGTGAGAATGCACTATAAATGCAGCCTCCCCCCCAACCAACAACAACAAACTGAAATACAGCGCATTTGGAAAATAAACTTTATTGAAATTTTCACAACTTATACATGATAATATTGCACATACAATTGTGCTTTAAAATCTATACATGTTTGATAGAGGTACATTTCTTTGCAAAGCTATCATTCCCAGAGATGCAACTGTCTGTTAAAATTACAGAAACAGTTTGTCAAAAGAATAGAACAAAGTCTGACATTGTTCTGCTAAATGCTACCCATTTCATAAGCTCTTCTCGAGACATGACAATGAATCTTAACATTTCAGCTCCTAAAAAAAAAAAAATCCCAACATACCATTTTAATATTATGTTGTTTCACACTCCCATGATGCACTCTTCGTGGGTCGACTGTGATTTCTGCCCTGTTTCCACTTGACACTTTCCTGGTCTGTTAATGTCACATGCACTATGCACACTGTGACTTATGAGCAGGGCGCAAGTATTTTTACTTTATTTAAGCGGAGGACTTAACAAGAAAGCCTGGGGGGCCCAGGTGGATTATAACCAAATCCAATTCAGTCAAATCTTCTTACATCTCTCATCCATTTGCCAGAGACATATGTTTCAAATAAACACCTTGCAATTACAATAAAAAGGAACTGTTGACTTAGCTAATAACGCCATTTCCAAGAAAGTAGGAGCTTTTTATTTTTAGATTATATTCCAAAAATATTCAGATTGAATCGCTCTGACTGCACATCTTACTTGCAGTTTAAATTCTCTATTCACATGTCCAAAACCAAAGAAAGAGAGCTAAAGACCCTTTAATTATGTTCAGTAAAAATATTTATAATATAATACACATATACTCTTTTAATTCATTCTTTAAGTATATACAAGTTAAATGTTAAATGTATGTTTCCAGAGTATTTGGACTGGTGCAGATTACAATTACCTTTAACAGGGGATGCAAGATCCACAATAGAAAAATCATTTTGGTATTTTTGCACATTTGAACTCCCTCATTTGTGAACACATGCTCATGCACATACACACTCCATACAAATACACATCCAAACAACCCTTTCATAAGTGCTCGGACCGTCCAAGTTTAGCAAACAACACATGTCTTTGATTTCCCTTCTTGACCTGAAAAACAAAACAAAAACACAAATGAGAAAGCAAAAGTAAGAGGCAGCTGACAATGCAAACACACAATGAGCAAAAAAAAAACCATGAATATGATTTCAGAGATCTGGGCTTCACCTGTTTCGCCTCCACCTTCCAGCTTTTTTTTCTCGTCTTCGATAGCCTGCATCTTGGCCGCATGGACGTCTGCGAGAGCTTTCCACTCTCCCCTGTTGATGTTTAGCCCGTCGAACATGGGGGTGATCTCTGTGTGGAAGCGAGAAAACTCCTGCAAAAACACAGAAAACCCAGACACATTAAGATCCAAACCTCAGACATATAGATAAACACTAATGCTCTGACAATCAAACAACAAAAGAGAAGTTGCATGAGAAAATTCATTGCAAAAAAAAAACATATACAGACTACAAGTTGTGTATTCATACAAAATGTTCATGTTAATATTTGTAATTAGATACCTTGTATACAAAGGAGCAGACAAAGTCAATGAAACCACACTGCATCTTAGGCAGCTCAGCAGCGTGATTCCTGTCCATCATTGGCTATAGGAGAGGAAGAAGCAGAAGAAGAAATGTACTGTTAGGGAATAATGACAACATACTCAGTGCACATATCTTAACAATTAGCATAGTTTATAGATCTTACAATAGGCTGCTGGTCCAGGACTGTCCTCTCCAGGTCTCCTTGCTCCCAAAATTCAGCTGCCACCATCAGAGCGACCTATGAAGAAGCAATCAGAAGAAGCAATCAGAACATATACCGGTAGGTGAAAGTTAAAATCAATTTGACAGGATCATACCTTGCTCTGAACCTCCCACGGTTTTGTAATGGCCGACAGATCACAAGCCGTCATCATCATTGCCCTGCGTAGAGACATTTTCTTCCAATGAAAAACAGCCTCAAGAAAACAATGATTTTAAAAGTATGTTTTTTAACGTGCTCATTGACCCATTTACATGATAATTTCCTTCCTAGTTGCATTGTTCGCGATGAAGCTGATTTTCTCTTTCTCTTCTGGAATCCCTTCAACACTTTCCACAATTTTTTGGAACATCGTTCTCTTCCTGAAAGACAAGAAGGCTGTCAGATCTTTTCAAAACTTGGCCTTGAAAGATTTTAATATGGACCCAGAAGTTATGATTTACTTTTGATGGAACCAAACTTGGGACATTACTTACTTGAAGTAGAGGGCGAGATCGGTGGCGATGATGCAAACTTCAAACAGATGCTGCACGGTCTCAAACTGACGCTTCTGAAGGTTTTGGAAGATATTCAGGTCCTGTGAATGTCAGCAGAAGAGAGAAGTTAGAAATAATCTGTTGGAAGCTTTAACTATTGTTTAATATGTAAACATGATAAGGACCCACCTCATTCTCCATCAGAGTCTTACTGTACTCGAGATGGTGACGCTCCATAATTGAGGAGCTGTGCAGTTTTGCCAGAGGAGATAAACTCCTACAAGAGTCCACCAGAACAAGAAGACAAAAGTCACTTTGTTTAGTTTCTGGACAACTTTTTGTTCTTAATGTCGCCTAGAAATGACCTTCAAAAAACCGTACTTTGTCTGGTAGAGATTGTTGGTTCCTCTGTGGTCAATATCATGGCAGAATCCAGCGGCCACCATGGCAAAGGCCTCAAGATCAGAGTAATACCTCTTCAGTTTACCTGTCTGTTGAGAAAGTGGGAAGAAAAACCCGGTGTTATGCCATTTATTTTTCACTAACTGAAAATAAAGTGAAGTATGAGAACTCAGTCTCACAAGCAGCAGGGTGAACATGGTTTGTCCAACATTGAAGCCATGCCTCCAGTTGTGGTAGGTGATGTCACGGTATCCTTTACGAACGGTGTACATCCATCGTGTCAGGATCTACATGACAGGTAAAAGCACAAAAAACAGGTCTGCAATGAGTCTTTGCATTCAGTTTAAAAAAAAAAAGTAGATCCAGAAAAAACCTATGACTCAAATTCAGCATCTCAGATTATGAAGTCATCCTTTTGTCAAATATGCAAATCATTATAATGGCTTAATCCAAGAGCCAAATGACTTGGAAATTAGACTACACAAATATTGTTGGCACTTCCTGTGTCTCTGCATTGTTCATGAACCAAACTTGTCTGATTTGATTTTTATTGATCTTTTTTATTGATTCTACGGGAGAGGAAGCTAAATGTGTGCAGCACTTGAGTCTAAGACTAAATTCCCCAAGGGGACAATAAGGTGTCGCGTCGAGTCGTATGGTGTTTGAACAGAGGCATGAGGTTGTTGAGTGAGTACCATAGACTGTAAAAATGAATGGACAAAGCCTGAGTGACGTCAACCACCTGTTACAGCAGGGGGGCTCCAGAGGCTCATCGTCAGCCGCCGCCACCGCCATGCTGGAAATGCTGTCTCACCTAACCACAGGATTAGGGCCGAAGCTGAGGGGTTACACCGCGCCCACCTGTCAATCATGTCAGCTACAACTACGGATACTGCGAGTCGTTTTAAAAAAAATCACCCCCCCATGCAGCGTGTGTCAGAGAGGATTATAACTAATCGGACCTATTTTGTTTTCTGTACCAGGCTGTAAACTTTTTAATTTATGCTGTAAAAACAACTTTTTTGCCAGTCATGTGTATGTGATTAACGTGGTTGCCTAGAGCAAGCCTCAAGCAGACACTCGAGGAACTGCAGGATGTTGCACTTCTGCATTGAATTCATTTTTCAAGACCGGAGGTTGTCGCTTGGTGAGTACAGAGACTTTTCCTGACTACTAAATGTTATACCTCAGCTGGGACTTTAAACTTCTCCACCACCCCCAGCTCGAAGAAGCAGCGGATGCCACACTTGATGAGCTCCAACTCTGACAAGGGGAAGTCGCTGAAGCGGAACTCGATCAGCTCCACGGTCTTGGCTTCAGGGATGCTGGCTCTCTGAAGGTTGGAAAGAAAAAGCAAACAGTCAGCTTCTAATCACAAACAAAGGGAAGAGTTTTAGTCTCCACACAGCAGTGCTTACCAGCAGTTTGTACATCTCCTTCTGGTCACAGTCTTCTGGTGCAGAGCCAAACTTCTCTTGAGTTTTCTGCGGGGGAATGAAAAGTTAACCGGATGCTTGATCTAGTAATCTGTTTGAGGTCTGTAGTTACATTCAATTGGAGCAGCAGCTCACCAGGATGGTCTGCACGTCATTCGGCGTGGCCTTTGTCTGGTACATGAGTACTTCCTGAGCAATTTCTTTACTCCACTCTGTCCTGTTCAGTTTGTCGTACGTGTCGCTGTTCAGAGTGGACCAGCCGAGAAACTGGGTCAGAGCCTAGTGACATTCAAAAATATGAAACAAATGAATTCTGTATTTTATTTATAAATCTTGTACTGAAAACAAATACTTCTAGTTAACTTATCCTTTAACGCCCCCTGTGAGGAGTTTTTTTTAATGAAACAGACTGAAATTAATAATGATGCCTAAAGCAAGAGAGACCATCAGCAACAAGATTATTCCTATACATCTAAATGTCTGTTCCTGCTGCCACTGTGTAGGTGAAAGGCGCGTCGAATAACAGCATGCTGAAGAAACGTCATTTTACATTTTCTGCGCCAAACAATAACGATGATTCATTTGTTTGTGTGTAAAAAAATAAAGCAGGATATGATTTTTTGAAAATAAATAAATAAAAAAATGTCACAAGTACAGGACAAGATCATCAAAGAGATGAGACATGCCGCTTTGTCCAAATGTCAGTGAAGTCAAATGATGTCAATAACATAATCAGTACTCTGGGGATGCATTATAATGGTATGAGAGATATTTTCCCTACTTCTGTGATTTGTTCATCATTCTCATCGAATGGTTTGCCGTCGTGTCTGTTGAAGAAAGTGGCAACACCAACAATTTCCTCCTTCTTGTTGACGATAGGGAGCGACAGGACGTTCTTAATCACCCATCCGGACTCATCCACTGCTTCTTTCTGTCAAATACAATATCCGGATTATCACAGGGAACTTTGTGTTGTACAAAAACAAAAATCAATCCCACTTGTCAGTAAAGAGTGTCTCGCCTGGAACTGGAAGTAGTCGTCTCCCGCAGCATTCATCATATTGCAGATCTAGAAGGAAGAAAAAAACGTTCATGTGTGATTGGGAATCAGCAGATCCATGAACCAAGCTGTTTAACATTTGCACAAAACCAATGTAAATAAAAGTTTAACTTACAAATCCATTCTCAGCTACATATGATGGGAGACCGCTGACCAGAGCCCAGTGATCAGCAGGGGGGCCGCTGTGAGTGAAGAGAATAAAACATGGGCCACAGCAAACTTCTTTAGACCAGTAAACCTCTAAAAATATGCAAATATAGCTTTATAAAAAGGCATACCATACTGGTGTTAGAATACATAATGATACTCACGGGATAACTTTGATCTCCTCTTTGTCTTCAAGCAAGTAGTCAATAATCTTGTAGAAGTTGATTTCCTAAAAGTTTGAAGCACTTTTTTATTAAACTCTAAGGCGCCAATGGTGGAGAATTATTGTACAAAACAAACCAATGTTTTGCACTTACTCTGCCGTCAGGTGTCTTGGGGCCTTTGTACGGCTCCTGTTCGCCTAGTTTGATTGTCCACTCGTCAAAGAATTCCTGTAGGAAAATAGGCCAGAATCATGGTACAGTACGGTACTGCTTGATTGATTCAAATAAAGACAAAATGAAAGTCTTTACCAACCTTTTCTTTGGTCATGTCCAGGAGCCCCACTGAGTATCTCTCACACTTGATGTAAGTCCTCACTGTGTATAAAGCTTTGTGAAACTGCCTCTCAATATCTGTCAACTCTTCAAAAACTTTGCTGGCTGACCACAGCAGAACCTACAGCAAAGAAGACAATCACTGCTCATGACTTTCATAGGATGGCCCTTTGAGTCTTCAAGGTAAAAATGGAGGAAGTGGCCAAATATTTTAGCTTATGTGGATTTATTCATGTGTTTTATTTTTCTTACCTGGCTTCTCCTGGATTCGACATCCCACATCATAGCAGTGTGGGCTTGGAGAGTGACCACAGAAGCAAAGGTCATGTATTTATTGAAGAGCTGGGATTGAACAGGAAAGAATCATAGTGTCATAAATCACATGTTCTCTTTTTAATATTTGTCAATCACAACAGATTGTGGACACTTTCTCTTACAGAACCACTACAATTGAAAAGAGGCATTGATAGAAGACTAGAAAAAATGTCTGGGCTTCACCCACCCCCCCAGTCTAAAAGGATTATAAGTTGAGCTGTCATAACAGTGACCAAAAGTACCAAGACAATCCTCTAAATATAGGTCAGAGACCAGAAGCTGGTAGGCTAAAATTGGCAGGTTTCCCTTGAAGCATGGATAACAAAGAGACCCTTGCATGGGATTTGTCTGCAACAAACCCTTCATCCTTAACTTTCATTTTTCCCCTTATCCTAACTGAGTGTAATATTTTGGAGTTTGTTTTCCTTAATCACACTGGCAAACACACTAACCTCCAGTGCACATACTCTGTTGAAGATGATAAAAACAAGCATCCTGTCCACTCACCTCCTGGTCACTCTTTGAAAATTGGTCTGCACCTTGTTTGTTGAGCGCCATGACCACACCAATGGGTTCCTTTCCATACATAATTGGCGTGGTCAGCATGCATTTGGTGGTGTATTTGGTTTGTTTATCCACAAAGTCACTGAAATGAGAGTCCTGGAAATAACAGAAGGTCATTTAAAGGTTAAGCGTGAAAACACAACGAGATGGATGTGAAATAAGATATCTTTGACTTGCTCATCTCTACATTCTCGATCTTGATCCAGTGCTCTTTAAAACATTGTAATAAAGTTGTAAAGTCTTTAACTTTGCATATAGATAGACATGATTGGTTTGACTATATGACCTTTGCGATTTGTCCGTGTCTAATTTTGGAGTTATAATCCTTGCCATTAGCTCACCTTCTTAACATCAGCAATATTCTGCGGCTTCTTGGACTGTGCCGTCCAGCCGACAATCCCCATGTCGGTGGGAAAAACAATCTCTAAATTTGGGTTCACAAAATTTCTCTCGTATGGAGAATTGTGCGTCACATCGAAGAGGATGGTGGACAGCTCAGGTACTCCATTACGAGCCCTGTAGCCAAAGTAGCTAACACGATCAGCCTGGATCAGTAGAGCAATCCTCTGTAGAACTTTGTGAAGGGCTTTTTCCATCGGGTTGGTGCTCTGCATCTCCTTTAAGAGCTCGAATATGAACTCAGCCTCCTGGATGGTGGAGACATCCTTGTAAGAGCTTGGTTCTTTGACCTGGACCTGGTTGTTGAAGGCAGCAGTGATCATTTCTGCCTTGACCTTCTTCTCAAAGTACTCCTTAGCGACCTGTGGGTTGTTGTCAAGGAACTTCTCTACAGTGTCTTTGTCTGCCATGTTGTCCAGTTATAGATGAAGCTGCACACACACACAAAAAAAAAACTCCTTTACAGATGTTTGGAGGAAGAGTAGAGTAGTAATGTCCTCCAGAAGATGCAGCAGAGCAGACCTTACTGTGACATTTCTCAAAACCCTCTACTATCACAGGATCAAAGCAGCAGGTCCAACCTCCTCCTCAGTAACAGAAGGTAGAGAGTGGCTTACTGGTAAGGGGATCCCAGGGGGCACTAATAACTGTGACGCAAGAGTCATAAACCCCTGAGCTTTCTTAACTGTAAATCCAGCCACTTGTCATTTCAGAGGGGCTAATCCCATTAGGGGTGTGATAGGTGAGTTATGGAACCCCTAGTATGACCTGAACTGTAGAGGAGGGCAGGTAGCAAGAGGTCAAAACTGCAACTATTCCTGAGGAGTTTCCTGAAAACATCTGATAACATATCGAGATTAATGACGCATGCCTTTTTTTAATTATGTTGTGTACACACTTCTGGAAGGGTAACAACAACAAAAAATGTTGATACATTTGAAACAGTGAGGTGGGAAGTCATTCTGTAGGATTTTTAAGAGGATAAGGATAATACCATAACTATAATACCAGGAAAAGGCGAGAGGGGTCATTGGCTACATGATAAAAGCTGTGTTTAAGTGTCTTATGGTGTCTGAGAAGCTTTGTATGAGAGAAAGTGATCAATGTGATGATACAGTGACAACAAACAAGCTGGAATAACTGGTCTGGAGCTGGTCCATTCAGATCAAGTTCTGATTCTGGTCATTTTGACATCAGAGTTGAACTAGAAGTGCTCCTCCAGACAAGCCTGGGTGTCATGGTTCTGTTTGATGGAAGCTACATTTAACCACTGACAGGATTAAGGGGATTGTTGACTGCTGCGTGGAGTTTAATTACCTTTGTTGGCCGGCAAACTCTCGTTTGTTAAAGTAATCTGTTTGGGAGACATTTACTTCCCCACAAGTTAATACAAATGTGAAGCCAATGGCATGTTTAAAAATAATCAATTTTGTGAAATTGACTGAATATAAGTCATTCATTACCTAAGCTTTGGAAGCTGAAAACAATCCTAAAATACATTAGAATATTAATCATCTCATTGTTGTTAGTTTAAGCATTGAAGTAATGCCAGTATGTCAGCAGAGGTGTAGGCAAATATATTTGTGCTTTTTGCAAGTTTGCGTGGGATTTAGGGTTGAGATGGCCTTTGTGAATGTTACCACCCAAAAGAAAATGGCAGAGGAGACACAAAGGTGACCCAGAAAGTTCCTGGCAAAGTTAAGGTAGTCTGTGGTGATAATCGGATCAGAACAGTACACAGCAGTATAAGATAGATTCCTGTGCATCTGGATCTTAAAATGTTGTGGTGGAAAGAAAGAAAGCGATATAGTGATGATATATGTATCCTGCATTCATCTACACGTGCCTATTGAACTTATTATTGTGTTTTTAACCAGGTTTAAACATCCATGGAGTCTTTCTATATGTCCATGGTGAAATATAATTTGCAGTAAATGACCTGGGAGAAAGGCACATAGGGCAGCGAAGCCTACATTTCACAGAACCCCTTCAGCTGTGTCTGGCCACTTGAGATAGAGGTGTACAAGTTCCTGTGGTAAAGACACAAAAAATAACATAAAAAATAAACATTAATGTGGACCCTTTGCTTTCCCTTTATTTGTTAACCATGTATACCATTTCATCCACTTCTATCACTTTAAAGAATCGTCTGAGGGAGTGGAGTAAAGGACGAGAAGGAGACAGTTTGGGTCGTAATCCTGGGGTTCACTAGGGGCAGGGTCTGCCATTCCTTTTACACCGATGGAGATCAAGGTAGCGATGGTGACACAGGCGCTCACAGAGATGACATACAAACAAAATAGATGAACTGCATGTCAGCTATACAAACAAGTTGAAGGTCAGAGTGGTCTTGTTGGCAACCAGTGTGCGTTCCCGGGTTACCAGGACTGCAACTGTTTTAACAGAGACAAGAGGGACAGCAGTGTTAGCCAGGGTCTTTACAATAGTGTTGCCAACATGATCTGTGCAGTGCAGCTCAGAAGAGAGGGCAAAATACGTGATTTTTTTCAAGTGCATAACATCAGTGTGAGGTTTAATGTCCAAATAGACTTTATTAGGGGTCTTACTCCAAATGCATGCGGATTCTGCTCCTAGAGATTACTACACAAGTGAAAGGAGTGAAGAGTGCAATGGCCTACCTTTATGATGCTGTTTGCTCCAGCTCAAACCTTTGAAAGGATGTTCATATGTATTTGACTTAAAATGTATCACAATATTTTTTTGCAAACTATTTTTCATTTGAACTTATCCAAAAATATCAAACACAGCGACATCCTCTGTAAGAATAGATCTACTTGAAATAACAATATAATATGATTTGATGTCGACTGAGATTTATCCGAATCACCTGAAGGTTAATCCAAATTCTAATCTCTGATTAATGCAACTGTTCAGCAGTTATACTGTGTAAATTGCAAATAAGCTAAATGCGATCTCATTAGCTTGAGGCCATTTTATTTACACTCTGAATTAGATTATGAGGTGAACGTCCGGAGTAGTGCTACAGTAGGTGAGCAGGGCTTTCACCTCATTCAAATCCAACAGAGATACGTTTTTATCTAGAGGCATGTAGCTGAGAAGTATTTGTTTTGGATGTACTTTGTAGCAAACACACACTGTCCTTTCAATTAACTTATTACCATGCTCAGTATTCAAAATGTACCTGAAAGGCACAAGCAGGTTAACAGGTGACTAAACCATATCAGCATCTTCATCTTTAAGCTGTTGGTTAGCTCTTTGTGTCATGTTCCCTTTCAGAGCTCTCAGTCACAGCACAGACCTCACACTCCCCATATTGTCTGTTAGAAATACTAATCCACTCCCTTAAATAGTACAGGGAAGGGATTAACTACCACAAGCTGTTTTGAGCTATTCATCTGGTTCGAACAGTATGAAACCTGGTCAGGGACAAGTTCCTACATCAGCATGATTTGACCAAGGGTCACACATAATAATTATTTCATTCTTTTCATTATATAAATAACTGATTAGCACTAAAGACAATTTAGGCTGATGGGAAGATTGTTCATTTGCATATATTACATTAACAATGTAATGAGCAAATTTCAATTTTGACCTGATATCTTGAGCTGGATAAAAAACAGGAATAAAAGAAAATCCACACAATAGTCGTCAGGATTTTTCATTTAAAATTAGAAAAGTTAACCTCAAAATGCAAAAGTCAGAAGAGATGAGGTCTTTAGGATTTAACATCTAAGAACCATGGATATCTGAGTATAATATTTTGCCAATAAATATATGGTAAAAGATATTGATATTTTCATTGACGAGAGCAACTAAAAATCCTCTGGTAAGGTGAGAAAGCATTTTTGAAGGGTGCAGGTGGCCAGGTGGTTGATTCAGGCGCCCCATGTACAGAGGCCGTAGTCCTCGAAGCGGACAGCCTGGATTCAAATCAGTCCCGTGGTTCCTTTCCCGCATGAAATTCTCCACTCTATCTCTCTCTCCCCGATTTTCACCTCTTTCCACTGTCCTGTTTCCAATAAACGCATCAAAAGCCCAAAAATACATGTTAAAAAAAAGAAAGAAAAGAAAGCATTTTTGGGATAAACAAAGAATATTTGGTCCAGTTAATGCTCAGAATCACAACCTTAGCAATTTAAATCTGTAGTTTATTGAGATTTCAAACAACAGAAAACACTGAACAGAAGAGGAATTCTGCTCAACCCTTCAGTTCTGACAGACTTCTAGGTGGTAAGTCAGTTCTCTGTAGTGACTGACAGGATACTGGGCTTGGCAGATCGGGCACTCCAGACAGCTTCCATCCTGCACGCTGCTGTGAGGAGACGAGCGGCGGCTCTCTCTGGTGGGTGGGGATGGTGGGGGTGTCGCTTTGCATGGGCTGCAATCCCGCCGTCCTCTCTAATGCAAATTGAGTCAAAAACCAGTTCTGGTTAATAAGTCTCTGAGTGTATGAAACAGTTTGCACCAAATAAACTTAAAGCTGCATAAATGGATCATTTTAATAGTAACAATGGATCAAATTATTGTTTTTCCTTTTAAAGGGGTTACTAACAGACTACAGACACATAAACAAAAAATGTTTGCATTACACTCTTAAATTTATTTTAGCTATATGGAGCCTTTTTGTTTACTTTGGTTCATTGTTTTTGTTTTTTCTAAAAACTAATTTTGAAGAGCTCTTAATTTTGAAGACTCTGTTGTCCGCAGGCAGCTGTTTTCAGCACATAAAAACCAAAGATAAAGCCGACCTATGCTACCTGTCCAGCGCCAAACAGCAGATGAACAAGATCAGCAACTGGCTGGTAAATATAGCATCACATTTAACAAATGAGGGGCAAGACATGTCCCTCATGACCAAAGCAAAGAAAGAGGACAAGTTATATTGGACCTACATTTAATAAGAGGCTCTATATGACAATGTTGAGTCTTTAAGATGTTATGCTGCCCCCAAGATTTCAATTCATGCAGTTTTAGAAGTGGGGATAAACTTCCTACTTAACCATTCTCTGTTCATGCCAACCTTTGATAGTTTTGCCTGATGGCCTCTAGTGTTTTGCATCATCTTCAGAACACTGACCATTTGCTCCTTTAAATATGAACAATCCTGCCTCTCGTCCTCAAGGTCCTGGGAAGAAATCTTGATCTATAATTTAAAAAAAGAAAAGTTGAATTACAATGGAGAATGTATGCAAGTTAATAATGGTAAGAGGTTGGATCATACCTGCCGCTGCAGGGCTGCAATCTTTCTCTGGTCTGCATGGTGAAGGTTTTTGAAAAACTTATCCCGGATGCTCGTCTAAGAAAGAGAAAGATTATTTTTTTTCTAATCGGAAATGTCTTCCCTCGTATATTAACTGTATGAGTTCCTTTTTCATATTTCCTGAAGATGTACCTGGAGCTCCAAATTAGCTGACTTGCGCTTCTC